GGCCTGGGCTCGGGTGAGGCCCGGCATCCGGGGAGCGCCCCGCTGAGACGGGGAGGCTGGCGAGGCTGCCGGTCTCCGTGCACACCTGTGCCTGCCAGGCCTCCTCCTCCCTCCGGGTCCCACCCCAGGACCCAGACCTGGGCCTACCTTCCTCTGGAAGGTCCCGTCCAGCGCAGCCACGATGACCGTCTTCCCGGCGTTGGCCATGGCCTCGCTGAACTCCACGATGTCCGGGAACTGGAAAGCGCGGGCGGAGGAGTGAGCGCCCGGTGATGCGACCTGAGCAGCAGCTGCCGGGAGCCACGGGGAAGGCCTGCCACTGGCCAGCATCACCGTCCACACTAACACGTCAGGGCAGCCCTTCCTCACCGGAGGACGCTCAGAGGAACCTCGGCCCCCCACTTGCGACACTGGTGCCCTCCAAGAGCAGGTGCTTCTGCCTGAAGCTTTGTCCTGCTCACACGCCGCCCGCCCCCAGCGACCGCTGCGCCCTGGGCCCCAGGAAGGACTTCCCCACGGTCCAAGGTAAGGACGGAGCACCCAGGTGTCGGCTGCATTCCCCCGCCGGGAACCTCGCTGCTGACACTTATTGCCGTTAGTTTTGTTTGGATTTTAACTAATTGTCACTCGAGGAGTGAGCATATTTTGTCCATTGATTTTTTTTAAGGATTTACATTTTTAAAAATATATATATATTTTTTATTTCAGAGAGGAAAGGGGAGGGAGAGAGAGATAGAAACATCAATGATAAGAGACTCATTGACCGGCTGCCTCCTGCACGCCCCCTTCTGGGGATCGAGTCTGCAACCCGGGCCTGTGCCCTTGCCGGGGAATTAACCCGGTGACCTCTTGGTTCACAGGTGGACACACTACACCGGCCAGGCTACAGGTTACATTTCAAATGGGATTTCAAAGTACTTCGTAAATTTGGGGCTTCATTGTAGGTAAAGTAATTGCAGTACAGGGACAAGGTAGGAAAGGAGGATGGTGGCGCGTTTGCCCACTGGGGTTCCGGGTACGGTTCCGCCCCCACCCCCACCTGCAGCGAGCTGCCTCCTGAGCAAGGTCCAATGGGGGAGAACCCAAAGGGGAAACCAGGACGCCGGGAGGTAGGTGTACACCCCGTCATCAGCTTGCCCAGAGCCGGCTGGCTCAGGTGGCAGCTGACGACCTCTGGCTCTGCGTCCTGGCCCTCATGCTGGCACCGAGGCCACCAGAGCCAGGAAAGAAGGCTGTGACAGCCCTGGCCGGTGTGGCTCAGTGGATAGAGCGTCGGTCCTCAGCCTGAAGGGTCCCGAGTTCGATGCCGGTCAAGGGCACGTACCTTGGTTGCAGGCAATGATTCTGTCACCATTGATGTGTCTCTCTCACATCGATGTTTCTCTCTCTCTCTCTCCCCTCTCCCTCCTTCCTTCCACTCTCTAAAAATCAATGGAAAAATATCCTCAGGTGAAAATTAAACAAAAAAGAAATATTTACAGCACATGACCGAGCAGCATCAGGTATGTCACATCTGCTAGATGTAGGACAAACCGAGAGAAAAATGGGGCAGGCCTTAAACGAAGACTCGAATGAAAGAGAAACGCAGTCAGGACAGGATGCACGCACAGCGCCGATTAGAAAGAAATGCAGGTTCTTACAGGCGGACGCACAGCAGGTATAAAAGAGGAGCTGGCCCGGCCGACGTGGCTCAGGGGTTGAGGTCGACCTGTGAACCAGGAGGTCACGGTTCAATTCCTGGTCAGGGCACATGTGCAGGTTGCGGGCTCCATCCCCAGTGGGGGGTGTGCAGGAGGCAGCCGATCCATGCTCAATGATTCTCTCTCTCCCTCTCCCTTCCTCTGAAATCAACAAAAACATATTTTTAAAAATAAATAAATGAAAATAAAAGAGGAGCTGACCGGAAATCCCAGAAATGGAAAATAGTCTTCAAACCCAGCACATGGGGACGCAGTGCCCGGAGAACCTCACAGGCAGACGGCTCCCGGCCAGAAACCATGCCGCGAGCGCTCACAGCCAGACACACCAAACACACCAGGAGGAATGGACACGAAAGCCCTGCGGCTCGCTGTGCGGAGGGCAGCCGCTGGCCGGCGGGAGAGGGAGCTGCAGGCAGGGTGGCCACAACCCTCCCAGCGGCTACAGGCCTGCAGGCGCGTCCAAAGGAGCAAGGCGAAGGGTCAGCCTACCACTCGCTGCCCAGCTGAACCCAGAGAATGAGATAAAGATGAGAAAGGGGGACGGTCGGGGGTCACAGGACGGCCGAGCCCGGATGAGCCAACTTACAAACTGCCCCTCGTCGATGCCGATGACAGCCACGCCCATGGCCTCCTGGGCCACGTCCCGCAGCAGGCTGGCCGGCAGGGCCTCCATGGTGTTCCTGGGGAGAGAGCCGGAGGTGAGCAGGCCAGGGGGACCCGGAGACCCAAACCAGAGGCAGGACCAGGGGCCGGCGCTGGCACCAGCTCTGCTGGCAGGGCAGGCTGCCATGTTTGCCTACAGCTTGGCAATGTCCGCACCCACACAAAGGCCTCTGGGGAGAGTTAAGGCCCA